TTTTCTATTAACTTGATTTTTAGCTTTCTTACGTTGAGCCTTAGGAGGTTGTCTAGGTGTTTGCTCAATGTTTTCTTTATCCTTAGCTTCTTTTTTATTAAAACCTATTCCTTCTTTAGAAAAGTGCATAGTGTCAAGGAGTAAATTAAGATCTTTGTGTGGAGTATTAAATTTCTTAACTGTACTCTCAAGTTTTGTGACTTGTTCTTTCAAAGCTATGCATGTGTCACAATTTTTCGTAAAGCTCTCGGGTTTGTTGATGCTTCTTTTACCATAAAACTTGTTTTCCTCTTTTAGTTTTTCGTTTTCCTTTTGAAGTTTTTCAAGGTCGGTTTCAAGATTAGAAAAACGTTTCTTTAAAGCTTTGTTTGTTTTAGAAGCGCTAACAAACTCGTCATAAAATTTCTTCAAGAGAATAAGAAACGGTAGAAGAATTACATACCTCTTGGTTTTCGTCGTTGGCGGACTCCTCTTCTTCTTGAGCTATGAGACAAAGGTTTGCTTCTTCGTCTTCCTCTTGCTCGCTTGACTCATCGCCGGAGTCGCCACCCCAAGAGATGTATGCTCTTTGCTTTTTGAAGTGACGAGCATTCCTTCCGCTTCTTGGGCATTTGTTCTTGATGTGCACGGCTTCACAACATCCATAGCACAAAGGGTCATCCTCAACCTTTTCTTTCTTCTTTAGAAGTTTGCAAAACTTCTTCATGACAAGCTTGACTTCATCATCATCGCTTGAGTCATTCATCGTCGGTTCTTTGAAGGCTTTCAATGCTATGCCTTTCCTTTGGTCATTCAAAGGCGGGTTGAGTATAGTAGATTCATAAGTTTTTAAGTTACCTCTTAAACCGTCGATGGTGACATTTGATGTGCCAATTGACTCATAGATGGCATCGGCCTTAGATCGCCATTCGGATGTCAAGCTCCGTAGGATCTTTCGCACAAGATCCCTGTCGGTGTAGCTCTTCTTTAATGCATGAAGATCGTTGATTATCTGGGAAAAGCGGTCGAACATGTCGTCGATCTTTTCGTGCTCCTTCATCCTAAACATCTCATACTCTTGGGTGAGAAAGTCGATCTTGGCTTCACGTACTTGGTCCGTTCCTTCGTACGTCACCTCAAGCTTATCCCACATCTCCTTGGCGGTTGAGCAGCAGGAGATCTTGCGGTAGTCATCAGGGTTGACCGTGCAGTAGAGCATGTTAATTGCCTTTGCATAGTTCTCTACTTTCTTGATGTCTTCGGCATCAAATTCGTCTTCGGTCTTGGGGATCAACTTATCTCCGACTTTCTTCATTGGCACCTCTTCCCCATTTTTGATAACCAACCATAATTGGAAGTTCGTGGAACGAATATAGATTCTCATTCGTTCTTTCCAATATGTATAATTGGTTCCATCAAAAAGAGGTGGCCGTGTGGTTGATTTCCCTTCACCTATTGCTGCATACAAGTTTCTAGAAAAAGAACCCATGATCGCTTTAACTCTCAAACGGTTAAGTTTGGACGCGAGTTAGGCTCTGATAACAATTGTTAGAATAAGTGACCAACGCTAGAGGGGGGTGAATAGCGTTTGATTCTAGAAATCACAGGAATAAAAAAATCAAGAACGTGAGAAGTAAAGAGCGTAGAAAGCGTAAAGGGAGCACACCAAGATTTATACTGGTTCACCACAACGTGTGGCTAATCCAGTCTCCCGAGAGACTCTCTCGAGCTTCACTACTTCCATTAAGCTTACGGGTGCTTAACAAACCGTTACAACCTGAGAACTCGAGTACCACGAACCTCAACAACACTTGCTCGGAAAATAAATTATTAATCAGACACTTAAATTATGATAATTTAAGTGTCTGATTAATAATTTAAGTTGTCCAAACCCCATTATTTTCCAAGGCTTTCTAGAGCCAACTTGTGTGAAGTTTGGGTTGATCTTGAACATATATATTTTACTCAATATCCACTCTTAAGGAGAGTCTTGTTCTTGAGTGTCTTAGTGTTGTATACACGTTAAGGGAAGCTTGTTTCCCTTGGTTGTACGAAGGAAAGGTATTTTCCTTCGGGTTGAATTCTTGGAGTGTGGTATCTCCGAGCAAGTGTTGTTGAGGTTCGTGGTACTCGAGTTCTCAGGTTGTAACGGTTTGTTAAGCACCCGTAAGCTTAATGGAAGTAGTGAAGCTCGAGAGAGTCTCTCGGGAGACTGGATTAGCCACACGTTGTGGTGAACCAGTATAAATCTTGGTGTGCTCCCTTTACGCTTTCTACGCTCTTTACCTCTCACGTTCTTGATTTTTTTATTCCTGCGATTTCTAGGATCATACGCTATTCACCCCCCTCTAGCGTTGGTAACTTATTCTAACAATTGGTATCAGAGCCTAACTCGCGTCCAAACTTAACCGTTTGAGAGTTAAAGCGATCATGGGTTCTTCTTCTAGAAACTTGTATGCAGCAATAGGTGAAGGGAAATCAACCACACCGCCACCTCTTTTTAATGGAACCAATTATACATATTGGAAAGAACGAATGAGAATCTATATTCGTTCCACGAACTTCCAATTATGGTTGGTTATCAAAAATGGGGAAGAGGTACCGATGAAGAAAGTCGGAGATAAGTTGATCCCCAAGACCGAAGACGAATTTGATGCCGAAGACATCAATAAAGTAGAGAACTATGCAAAGGCAATTAACATGCTCTACTGCACGGTCAACCCTGATGACTACCGCAAGATCTCCTGCTGCTCAACCGCCAAGGAGATGTGGGATAAGCTTGAGGTGACGTACGAAGGAACGGACCAAGTACGTGAAGCCAAGATCGACTTTCTCACCCAAGAGTATGAGATGTTTAGGATGAAGGAGCACGAAAAGATCGACGACATGTTCGACCGCTTTTCCCAGATAATCAACGATCTTCATGCATTAAAGAAGAGCTACACCGACAGGGATCTTGTGCGAAAGATCCTACGGAGCTTGACATCCGAATGGCGATCTAAGGCCGATGCCATCTATGAGTCAATTGGCACATCAAATGTCACCATCGACGGTTTAAGAGGTAACTTAAAAACTTATGAATCTACTATACTCAACCCGCCTTTGAATGACCAAAGGAAAGGCATAGCATTGAAAGCCTTCAAAGAACCGACGATGAATGACTCAAGCGATGATGATGAAGTCAAGCTTGTCATGAAGAAGTTTTGCAAACTTCTAAAGAAGAAAGAAAAGGTTGAGGATGACCCTTTGTGCTATGGATGTTGTGAAGCCGTGCACATCAAGAACAAATGCCCAAGAAGCGGAAGGAATGCTCGTCACTTCAAAAAGCAAAGAGCATACATCTCTTGGGGTGGCGACTCCGGCGATGAGTCAAGCGAGCAAGAGGAAGACGAAGAAGCAAACCTTTGTCTCATAGCTCAAGAAGAAGAGGAGTCCGCCAACGACGAAAACCAAGAGGTATGTAATTCTTCTACCGTTTCTTATTCTCTTGAAGAAATTTTATGACGAGTTTGTTAGCGCTTCTAAAACAAACAAAGCTTTAAAGAAACGTTTTTCTAATCTTGAAACCGACCTTGAAAAACTTCAAAAGGAAAACGAAAAACTAAAAGAGGAAAACAAGTTTTATGGTAAAAGAAGCATCAACAAACCCGAGAGCTTTACGAAAAATTGTGACACATGCATAGCTTTGAAAGAACAAGTGTGTTTTGAACTCTCATGTCAATTCTTTAAATTATGAGGTGTGTTTCTAGAATTAAATGAGGAACTGTGATACGTGAAAAGATTTCTTCCTTATCCAAAATTATTTTTTCTTCGATTCCTATTTCTTTTGTAACTCGTTTGTGGATCTGTTGGAGGATTCCGAGTTGCATTCTTTCGATTTTTAGTTCAATTATCTTTTTTTAAGTTGGCTGTAACTTAAATTATATATGTGGTTATTTTCTTCTAATACCACATTCTTAAAAGACAATTATTAATCAGACACTTAAATTATCATAAGTTAAAGGCAATTGATTTCGGACACTTAACTGTAGTCAGTTAAGGCAATCAGAATCTTAAACTATCATTAGTTTAATCGATTTCGGAAATAATCGATTTTCGGCCACTGTTCATCATCTTCTTCCTCTGGTGTGTTTTAACATTATCATTTTTAATCACCAAACATCAATTAAATTATATAAAAATGTTCTCCAATGTTCACAAATCATTTTAGAGTCATTAATTCGTAGTTTTAACATCAAATTCAAGGTTTAAGATTCTTAGTCCTTTAATCATGTCAACATAAAACTCAACCAAACGACCGTTTATGAACGTACAAACGATCTATACGAACATTCTAGTCACTAAATATATCTACGGGCTTACCTCGAAGCTTATCGAAGGTTTTGGATATTTTCCAACGAAACTTTCGGCGAGGTTTGTGGTTAGCTCCGGCGACCTCTCACCAAATTGATAGCACCACTGCACTCCTCTCTCAACAAAGAACAGAATAGAATAAAGAATGGAGAGGTTTGGTGAAGAAATGAAGGAGCTTGGGTTCTCTTATATAAAAATGGTGATGGGGAAGGAGCCAAATTTACGTTGCTTCCTTTCCTTGTGTAATCGGCAGAGTGGAGTGAGCGGCGATTTGTAGGATTTTACACGCCACTCTCTAATTGGGACAAATTTGGTTCCAGTCAGGGTACACTTTCTGGTCCAACTTTCTCCGAATTGAATTTCGTTTGCACCGTTGCGATCAGACAGTCAAACTCTATTTAACGATATACGTTTTATATTTATTTGTAGTACTTTTTCCAACATCATATTTTTGGGTGTTTGACTTTGACAGAGTCAAAATTGGTTTAATTGACTTTTATCATAAAAGGTTCTCACATTTAATTCATATCATTTGTTCTCATGATTTATTTCAATAAATCATTTTAAAGTTCACATCATAAATAATTTCTCCATTTATTCTTGATTTGGGTCTGTACTCAGGTTCCCAATCAAGACCGCACAAAAAATCAAAATATTGGTTTTATCTCTATGAGATTTATCCATATTGTGATTATGGATATCAAAACATATTTCGTATCGGCCCAAAGCCCAACAACAATTTATTTTAATCAAAACAAATTTGTTTAATTGAATAATTATTTAATAATAATTCTAGGGTATGTTTTGGGGCGTTACAAGGAGTATATATAGGCTAAAAAGGAATACACTTAGCTAATAATACATACAACAAAACAAAACTGAAAGTAAGAGGAAGTTTCCTTTTTTCTCATGTCATTTGTTCCCATTTTAGCTTGGTGTCAAAAGTCCTTCATGGCTGATCTCTTCTGGATTAAAAGACCAATAGTCCTTGTCCTTTTTAGGTAGAAATTTCGTGGCTTTATGAAGATAACAAAGGGAAATCAAGCTTTTGACATTTGTGATGAAAATGCCAAAACAGCACTATTCATTCAATGACTTTTGTTTGTGATTTTTGTTCCTTTGTATCAAAAGTGATTAACCTTTTGTTTTATAGAAGAAAAGGCTTTATTCTTTGTTGAAATTCAGGGAATAATTTCAGCCTTGTACCCAAGCTTAGGAAATGCAAACAGGAATTGAACAACTTTGGGACTTCAAGGTTCAGACATGTAGGATAATCGATTAGCACCTTTAGATAATCGATTGATAGGATTTGGTTCCAAACCGGGAATATTCAGAGATGCTTAATAGTCGATTCACACTGAATCACAATCGATTAACAAGGCTTGCACCAAAACTGGGTATTTTCAGAGGACACAAATAATCGAATATTCGTTTCGACATAATTGATTGTTGGAGATTACTGGTTCGTGACGAGGAATCAGAAGGATAGAATAGTCGATTATCAGTTGTGTAAAATCGATTATCCAGGCTTTCAGGATCAGGATTGGAAGAGAAATAGGGAAAGGCATTTTTTGGGTAAAAGGTTTTTGAAAAGACAAAAACAAGAAACAAAGGTTTTGGCTTTTATTTTCTTCTCATTTTCGACGAGGGGTTAAAATGGATGGAAAACACTTTATTTTGGATAAAAGAAAAGAAAGAAAACATTTGGATATGTTGGGAGAGTTTGGATTTTGGTGGAGCCATCGAGGGGTACATCATACTCCCCTTCTTCGAAGAAAGTTTGTCCTCAAACTTTCGCACCACCATGACTCATTTGGGGTTTCATAAAAAATTCCTGGATCAAATGGGAAACTTGAGAAACTACCAATGATGAGGTTCTTTCCGAAATCAGTTTGCACCTCTTTGTGTAGTGTTCGGAAATATGCAATCGCTTTTAGTAGAACCTCCTTCACGCTTACTTCATTGATTGGATGAGGTTCTCCTTCACTGATTAGATGATGATACTTTGAGGAAACCACTTCCTTAAAACATACATCACCTAGTGTAGCTTCCTCCATGACATCCTTTTCAAAGAAGTTTCTATCAATAAGGATTGAATCTTCTTGTGACTTAGAAGTTGGTTCTTCTACGAAGACATCTTCTTCATCTTTGACATGGTTATCAAAGACATCTTCGTAATTCCCATCCTGTTGATTCTCATATGCTGCTATGATCCTTACATGCTCTTCATAAGGAATGGCTTCTTTATTTGTGCACCTCCAATAATGATGGCCATAGCCACAGCACATGTAGCACCGTTTAATAGGTCCTTGAAGGATTGCCTCATTTGCATAAATAATCTCAAGATTTTTGAAGTATCTTTGGATATCCATATCTCAACAACCAGATATTGGAATGTAGTGATTCCAACTCTCAAAGATAGATATTGAAGTCCTTAAAGACATATAAAAAATTCAGCGCCATTGAAGCATGTGTGCTACCTCGTTGGAGACAAAAAAGAAGCAAGCTAGACAGCATTTGGACAGGACTGCATTGTCAACTTTGGAAGGGCGTAACTTGCTAACCACAACTCTGAATTGAGTGATATCAGCGGCTAGACGTAGATAAAAGGTTGAACTTTCTGACTAAAAAGTTTCACGTCGAAATCAGTTTTCATAAAAACTTTCTGACTAAAAAGTTTCACGTCAAACTTTCTGAGTGTTTTCATAAATGGTTTTTAAGTTTCTAAAACCCATGGTTCTTGCTTAACCAAAACCATAACCATCGGTTATCGGCGTTCGGCTATGGTGTTCGGTTTTCGGCATTGGTTATTGGCATTGATTTTAACCAAATGGTTTTTGGGTTTTTATCCTTGGTTTAAGCTTCTGGACACATTAAAAGGTTTTCCAAATCATTAGTTTTCAAAAACCATAACCTTTGTTTTTTCGGCGTTGGTTATCGGCATTCGGCGCTGGTTATCGGCGTTGGTTTTTGGTGTCCAAATCAATCAAGTGGTTTTTAATATTTTATGATTGGTTTTTACTTCTGGACATATCCAAATGGTTCTCCAACAAAAACATGTTAAAAACCACCTTTCGTTTTTGGACTTTTGTTGAAAACCATGTGAAACGGCATAAACTTGGCTAGCCGTGACTTTTAACTTAATGAAGTGGTTTTTATGTTTTTATACTTGGTTTCTACATTAAATACATTATATAAGAGTTTCCAACTCTTGGTTTTCATTTTGGAGAACTTTGGTTTTTGACATCGGTTTTCGGTGTTGGCTGTTAAACCATGGTTCTGGCGACCACCGGGTTGTATCTACATCCTAGAACCTGTATCTACAGACCTGTCACTACAACCCTAAACTTGTAGATACAGACTTGTCGCTACAACTCTAAACTTGTAGATACAAAACCGGTCTAACCGAGTGCAGTCAGAACCCGTCATCCAAAAACTTGTCGCTACAAGTAACAACTTGTCGCTACAAAAGTTTACTGGCAACCCGAATTTAAGACAAAATCTTTCCATTTTTGAAATTCAAACTCCCCAACATCGATTTAGGCTTCTAGACATCGATGTTTTGATGACCGTTAGCCATTTTTAAAGGAAAGTCAAAGCCAAAACAGCGATGTTCACTATATGAACAGCGCTGTCGGGCTAGATTTCAGTAGATCCACTTTTATTTGATTTCCACAAATCAAGCCAATCAACCCCAATCTTCTCCCAACCGTTGCACCTTGTTTTTGGGTATAAAAAGGGGTCTCTTGGGTCTATATTTCACAACCATTCCTCACACATTTCATAGCATTACATTGCATCATTCCATAAACTTTTTATATAGCTTTTTAGAGCCATTTCTTGAGGAATTGAGAGTGTTCTTGATCTAAATTAGTTTACTCATATTCTACTCTTTAAGAGAGTTTTTGTTCTTGAGTGGTTAAGTGTTGTGAACACTTTAAGGGAGGTTTGTTCCCTTGGTTGTACGAAGGAAGGGCATATTCCTTCGGGTTGAAGTCTTGGAGTGCGGCATCTCCAAGCAAATGTATTGAGGCTCGTGGGACTCGAGTTCTCAGGTTGTAACGGTTTGTTAAGCACCTGTAAGCTTAACGGAAGTAGTGTAGCTCGAGAGAGTCTCTCGGGAGACTGGACTAGCCACACGTTGTGGTGAACCAGTATAAATCTTGGTGTGCTCCCTTTACTCCTTTTTATTCCGCTCTTTATTTTATCCCTGCGATTTTTATTCCGCGAAAATTTATAAACATTCTCGTGCCTCACTATTCACCCCCCCCCCCTCTAGTGAAGGGCACCTATTCTAACAATTGGTATCAAAGCCTAACTCTCTAAAAACCTTAACGGGTTGAGAGAACGATCTATATTTCTTTTAAGAATGTTGAGCGCAGGATCTTTTAGCGAAGGACGCTCTTTAACAAGGCCACCACTCTTTAATGGAGTAAATTACTCTTATTGGAAAGATAGAATGAGAATCTTCATTCAATCCGTTGATTACACACTATGGATGGCAATCAACAACGGAGCTTCTCTCCCAACGAAGAAGGTGGGCAAGAAAAGAGTAAAGAAACTTGAGGAGGAATACAATGAAGAAGATATCAAGAAGGTGGAACAAGATGCAAAAGCTCTTAACCATCTACTTTGTGCAATTGACGTGCAAGAAATTCAAAAGTTCTCCAGATATCAAACGGCTAAGAATCTATGGGATGGCATTCGTGAGAAATACGAAACTCTACAAGGAGAAAAAGAAGTAACCCATATTTGCCTCATGGCCAATGAGGAAGAAGAGGTAAGTACTTCTAACTCTCATTCTTTTGAAGAATTACAAGAGGCTTTTAAAGAACTATTTGGTGAATTCAAGAAAGCTTCAAAAATTGCCAAAGAGGCTAAGGCTAAACTTCATGCTTTAGATGAAGAAAATAAATTTTTAGAAAATGATAATCTTGACCTTAAAAATAAGATTAAGGCAATGAATGAAGCTTCACTACTACAAAAACAAGCAAAAGCATCGGTCATTTTGGACCTTTTGCATCGGATTTCTACCGATGCAAATGCAAGCGATGCAATTGCTCCTGGGAAATTGCATCGGTTTCAAAAAAACCGATGCAAAAGGGGAGAGCTTTGGCATCGGTTGTTTACAAACAACCGGTGCTAAAGCCCAATTTTTTTATAAAAAAAATAGATTTGGCATCGATTGTTTACAAACAACCGGTGCTAAAGCCCAATTTTTTAATAAAAAAAATAGCTTTGGCATCGGTTATTTCTAAACAACCGATGCCAAAGCCCTATTATTAATAAAAAAATAGCTTTGGCATCGGTTGTTTCTAAACAACCGATGCCAAAGACCAATTTTTTTATAAAAAAATAGATTTGGCATCGGTTGTTTAGAAACAGCCGATGCCAAAGCCATATTTAAATGTAACCCCTTATATGTTGAAAGATGAAACAATTAATGATAAAAAATTCTATAAAAGATCTCCCTTTCTACATTATCATCAATCTACACCATCAAAGTACATCTTATTAGCAGAATATTATAAATTAAATAAAAGATTAATCATATTCCAATGATAAAACAAAAAAACCTAATATTTGGTAAGATATTTACCAATCAGAGGATGGATCAATCAACATTCAAAAGCATGGCTCCCATTCAATCAACATTCAAAAGCATTCAAAAGCATCAACACAATCATTCAATAGATTAAAATAAAAAAATCCTACTTTCCCAACAAAGGATACCTCAGTGCAGCATCATATCACACACATCTCGGGAGGCCTTGTGCACAAAGCATAGTTGTGAATGGCGAATGGTGAGTGGCGGGCGAGAGGTTCTTTTTTATGGCGAGAAGCGTGGCGAGCGGCGGGCGGTCAAATGGCGAACATTAAATAAATAAATAAATAAATAAATAAATAAATAAATATATATATATATATATATATATATATATATATATATATATATATATATATAGAGTAAGTCTAAACTTTTAGTCTTAACTTTGTATCAAACATAATTATCAAAGTAAAACATGAGTTATTGGTAAAACTTAAAACAAAAAACAACATTTAGTACTTAAAAAGAAAGCAAGATATGTAATCATAATCCTCATCCGTCAAATCCAAGCCACAAAAAAAAACAATAAGAAAACAAAAATAAAAAGGATTGAGTGACCTGCGAAGTGTGGAGTCGGCTCTGAATCTGCGAAGAAGTGACTCGGCAGAGAGGGAAGAGGATCTGCGCCAGCTGAAGACAACTTCAGGAGGGCAGGTGGCTGAGTCGGCGACGAGAACGGCAAGGAGAATTTGATCGACGGTGAGGGGCAGAGGCAGAGGCGAGTCAGATGAATCGATAAGGTCCTTCAGGTCAGCGGACTTTAAAAAAAAATTCAATAAAAACCCTTGACCGGTCTGGCGTACATAGCGAACGCCTTTCGCCACAGCCCTTGGCGACGATGGCGACGCCTATGGCGAGAATGGCGTAAAACGCCTCGCCAGGCTAGAGGATGGCGTCAGAAGGCCGCCACAGAGCCATAAGCGCCTTTGGCGAGAATGGCGAGCGCCATTCACAACTATGGCACAAAGCCAGCAATATCAAAAGCATTCCTCCCATAGTCTTTCTTGATCACTCCCTGTTTGCATAATGCTCGACTAGGGTTAATCCACTAATTACTAAGCGTTGGACATATCCTCGTTAGCGGAGATAAGAAGCTGACCTTTTCGGTTATAATGCCACGAATCTGACTAGCTGGGGTGACATCAATGCTGGGTTCCAAACGAAAATGCCAGAGGCGGCAATTTGTTCACCTAGTCCTCCACGTGTATTCAAAAGCTCTTTGGAAAAGGTAAGGCAAAAACGGTATAAATCAACGGAAGTCAGGGGAGCAACCACGTAAAACAGTATATTGTAATGGCGTCCGATATATCCTTTTCTACTAGATTAAACATGATGAAAGAATTAAAAGGCCAATGCGGATGAGCGTTACCAAACAAAACTTGCTAATTGAATAACACTCCTTATAATAATAAAGGAATAAAAAGACGATGGTGGATTAAGTTCCGTTATTAACACATTCATGGTAAGATATCCTAATCATCTTTTGCTTCATCTATTTACCTACAAACCATGCTCCAAATAAACCAAGACCCAGGAATGTATTTCAGGGAAACAAAACTTGCTAACTGAATAACACTCTGTATAATGATATATGAATTAAAGATGCTGTAGAAATTATCATAAGTTATAGCTACTGTTAACCGCCTGGATCCCCAAATCAAGTAAAATCCCACGAAAGTAATAAAGGTCCATAATGAGCAAAACTGTAAAAAAAAATCAATAACTGACCAGAAGACTATAATGAGCTGGAATAATTGATCCATCCTCTGTCATGATATGTACATCTGCTCCAAACCCATCCTTGAATGTGGGGTCTGAAGAGGGGAGCTTTCCCTTCTTTCAATTTTTAGTAACAGCAAAGTAGAAGCATCAACTTTCCCATAGTTCCAAGATCCTATAGTCCTATCATTTTTAATAAAGTCACTCATATGATCCAACCAGTTTGTAAAGGATGTAATTTTCAGCGGAGAAGTGACAAAATGAAATAAAACCATCAAACAATTATAGGATATGACCTCAAAACTCAAAAGGATTCAATAATCATTCCATTGTGCAATCCATCCTTGTAAATTGCGATCATAAAAATTCAAGATAAAAAAAGTAAAGCAAACTAGATTGTTCTTAAGCGCAAAACACACATTAAACAAAATTAAAGTGATGATTAAGCGTGTAAGATTATGTGAATTAGGTTAGGTGAATAGATGAGAGATTATGTTAGGTGAATAGATGATGAGATTAGGGTTTCTCAAAAGATGAAAACATGAATCTCGTCAATCAACAATGAATTGGTAACTTACCATGGCTACAGTTTGCTTTGCCCGTCCCGCTCTGTTGTCTGGTCTTTTGGGAGCCGCCGCCGCACGCCAAGGGTTTCACTCGAAAGAGATGAATTACGAAATCAAACCTGCAAGGTTTCGATATCGATGAGGTTCACTTGCGATTCAACCAAAACCTAGCACGAGTGGTGGAGAGCGACGACGACGCAGTTGGCGATGGAGACGACGATGGAGACAGCGACGATGTTGGCGATGGAGAC